GTAGAGTTTTCCACAGTTTAGATTTGGTTGATTGTATTGTGATGACTTTACATCTTCCTCTTTCCTCTGCATTAATAGTAAACTGATAATTAGACCTTAAGTCTCGATTAGGATCAGGTTTGATTTTGAGAGGGGTGGACATTAATACTTCATCAGGAAGCAAAAAAGTTTTGATGTTCTTTATTTTCATGATGTGCACAACTGCTGAGGACCACTACCTTTATCCATTATTTCATTAAAATGGTATAAGATGGTAATATAATTCTATCTTTGCTTCTTCATTTATTAGCTGGTACTTCTACAAAGAGAAACTTTTTCAACACCTGACTTGCAGTTAGTGCAGGTAGGAGGGTAAATGCTTAATTTTTTCCCTTTATTTTTCAGTTTTCAAAATAATGAGTTGGTTCACAGGCATTCAAGGGTGATGGGTTCTTTTTAAATTGTCATTATTATGAACATCTGGATTTAAACATACTTGATTTGTTTCAATATTGTATAGCTGTATACCCTTTCATACTCTAATTGTGCCCTCTTTGACAAAATTGGGAAGGTTTTTCAAGCTGGTGACGTAATCCTAGTGGTATTCAATAATTTCCTTGTTTCTGGTTTGACAAGATGTTTCAGGTTCATTTGCATGACAATGTCTGGAATCATGAATTTGATTTGACAGTATCAGTGTAAATGCATGATATATTTTATCTTAAAAAATCTTCCACTGAAAAAGCCCAGAAACACAGACTAACTCAAAAGTAACGTGCACTCCTGGAAGTCCAGACTGTGATATCTAAATACCTTTTCCCTCTAAATACCATTTATTCTCTAAGAGTCCCAGGACTCCTGGGAAAAATGGCTGATTCCAATTGCATCTATGTCTTATCATTTGAAGCTTGAGCTCATCTTCCAAACTCATTCCTGTTATTGGCAGAATTAAAAATTATATTAAAATTCAGTTCTATACAGACTCTATAGAGAAATACAGACTCTAAATTAAGAATCCCCTAAGAAAAAGCCACAGGCAACCACTGACATCTTAAGTGATTAAGATAGGATTGCCATTTTAGAAAGCACTCTGACAGCATTATCAAGAATGGAGTGTGCGACCCGGGTGCTGGCAGTGGCTGCACTAATGGGAAGATGACCAGCTAAGGAATTGTTATTCATCTTGGATATGGGGAAGGTCTAATATAAGACAGTAGCCGTGGGATTAACAGGGGATTGATTTGTTAGCTATTGACTGTTAGCTTTAAGTCTTAGTGACTGTGGTGCGTGTGTGTAGGTGGGTGTTGCGTTATGGAAGAGCAGAGGCTCAACCAACTACCTTGGTGTCAGGGAAGCTGTGGAAAATTGTTTGGAGTAATGGAGTTGTGAGGGTATGTAACTTGTGGATGAAGCACCCGCGTACCCCTAGCCCATCCTCCTATGATCTAGCCCTGTATTAGGTATGAAAATATCCTCCACAGATGGGCATTCTACCCTGTGGTAAAACGCACTGAAGGAGGAGGAGCGTTACGCTTGGCTGGCAGGATACCCAGCGGCCCTTCCTGGATTTCAGTCCTCTAAGGGTTTCCTGAGAAACCAGTGTTATAGAGGCCCTTTTTGGCTTAATTGGTGAGAGGTATTGCACAGAAACCTGATATGAAGAGGTCCCCAAGTGGGGAAGGAGGCACCTTGCAAATACCCACTAGGTATCCAGGGGTGGAGCTTACTTTTTCCTGAAGTTGAGCGTTGAGCATAATTTTAAAATCAAGGGTAAAGTGTGGAGAATGAGCTGTTCCGTAAATCAATTCTTCCATTTGCGAGTCTGGAAAATCCCTTTTTAAACATTGGCCAGGCTGACGCCGGCACAGATTGGGCGGACAGGAGCCTGGTGACTCGGTCTCTGAGGGAAAAGCGAGAGGGGCGGGATATCACGGGAACGTTTGCCAAGAGGCAATTTCCGCAAGAAGCCCGGAAAGCCAAGCGCCACACAGGTTTCTTGCCGAACTCTAGGTGGGGCGCCGAGGAGTCGTTCTAGCCTCTGCGCCTGCGCAGGCGTAACGCGCCAGGGAGAGGGGTAACGTTCCACGAATACCTTCCCAGGGCCCGCCCTTTCCTCAGAATCAAAAGGAAAGAGCGTCGTGAGCGCGACAGCCCAGCGAGCCCCGCCCTCAGCTCGCCTCGGGTTCTCTTGCACCGCCTCGCCGCTCGCCTACGTGCCTCGGCCATGGGCTCCTCTCGGTGGCACAGCCCACAGGCTGAGCAGTCGGCGCCGCGACCACGAGCGCGTGCGCACGTCAGCGCGCGCCGGTCCCAGCGCGAGGAGTCCCCTCCTTTCGTCTCGCCCCGCCCCCGCCGGCCTCCAGTGCGGCGCTCTGGGCAGCGAGAATCCTGGCACTCGCGCGCGCTCGGTATAGCGATGGAGGTTCCTGGGAGCCTGTGCAAGAAAGTCAAGCTGAGCAATAACGCACAGAACTGGGTGAGTAGGGGCAGAGGAGCAGAGGTAGTTCTGGAAGCCTTCGGCTACAGTTCGTACGGGAGCTGCTGTCTTTTTCCCTCCTCCTCCTCCTCCCTTGGCGCGGGGGTTGGTATCCGAGGCGGCGGCATCTTACACTGGGGCTGTGGCTGGTGCCGGACGGGGGTCTAGAGCTGGCCCCTACGTGCGGCCAGACCCACCGTCATTGCGGAGGACGCCTTCTCCAGCTCACAAGAGACCCCAAGGAAAATCTTTCGGGATGGGCTGGCAGCTGCTGAAACCTGCACCCCCGGGGGAGCTTTCTGCGTTCTCCGGAGTGGATGAAGATCTGCAGAGGAGGAGGCGGCGGGCGCCTTACGTGCGTCCCTGGTTTTTTTTTTTGGCTCTGCCAGTGCAGTTAGCCCAGGTTTGGATCCATCTCCGTGTCTTCCCATTTCTGAATTGCAGTGTGAAGGGAGAATACTCAACAATGTGACCATTCATGAGCTGAGACTGCCCTGAACTGAGGTTCTTTGTGGTTACGTGTTAAATAGGAATGTCTGGAGTTTCAAAGACTGGATTCCTGGAGACAGTAAGGTGTGGGAAGACTAATGGTTTATCACGTTATCAAGGACTGCCATTTGGCTTGGATGGTCAAGTGCTATGTCCTCAGAAGGTTGCTTCCTTAATTATACATTGATAAGCAACAGCTTTAGCTTAAAATTTTGTAAGTTCAGAGCTGGTGGGGGTTGGGGAGGTTGTGTTCAACTCTGGAATCAGGAAATGGTTTTAGGTTTAGATGGAAATTTTTATTTCACAGTGAACAAAATCATGTGGTCTTGTTGGTAAAGGCAGCCTTGCAGATCATTGATTGCCCTTGGTGAGTCAAAGGATAAAGAAGCTGTGTCTGACAGGTATTCCCTTCAAGTTGCTAATTTACCATATCTGTTTTTACCAAGGATTCTTACCCTGTTGCTTTCTCCTTTTAGTAGTTTAACTCTTCCTTAGGCAATAAGGAGGAAAAGGGGATAAAAGGTGAATTAGAACATTGGAAACAGCACTGTGTTACTGGCCTCATTTCTAGTTCCAGCTTTGCCATGTAGTAGCTGTGTGATCTTGAAGAAAAACACTAATTCTTTAAACCTCAGATGACTTTTGTAACTCAGGAGTGGGGATGGAGGGGGAATATGTCCCCAGCCTCGGGCAAATAACCTTTGAAGCCGGAATCTGTGAAAGGGAGAATTAAAGTGGGAGAAACCCGTTTATTGCTTACAAGCAGTCGTTTACCTCTTGTCCATGTCTCTTGTTTCCCAGCTGCAAAAGGACCCCGTCACACCTCTCTGGTCCAGATAGGCCCTGCTCCCTGCTGTAATCACCTATTGATATGGAGATGACTAATTTTTCTCCACCCCTTGGGAACACCTGTTGATATGGAGATGCACTAAGGCCAGGCAGAAGTTCTGGAAATATTGCATTTTTACCCACACTGTTAAGAAGCGTATAATAGTGTGTACTTCACCAGGTTGTTGTGAGGCATAAAGAACATAATGAGTTTGAAAGTGCAATGAAACCAATGCCATGAAACTATTGTTACTGATCCTGATATTGAGCTGTTTCTTGATTAGGAAATAAGATTTAACTAAATTAGGGTGATTACAGATAATTTCAGTTACGATATCCACACTTCTTTTATTTGCTATTTCATTTGCCAAATAAGTGCTCATTCTTTGCAGAGACCTGTGCCACTCATGGAGATAAAAAATTAGCAATTCAGTGCTTGCCTTCCAGTTGATCTTGATCTGGTTAGAGTTTTCAGTGGTTGAATATATTGCTATGTACCATAGTGAATGGAGTAAGGCAGAAGTTTTGTCACAATTTAGAGGAGAGATTAGTTTAGCCTAGCTGTTTTGGGGAGGGCTTGTAGAGGAGAAATATACCCAGATCGCTGAGGCAGAGGGCAACTACACAAATAAAGGCTGGCTTTAAGCATTGCGAATATATTATTAGTGTGTACTCCAGGAACAATGAAGAGACCTGTTTAGGTACTCTGGAGAGTTTTTGTTAAGGAGTGGTGATAAGACTGAATAGATAGCATGGGGTTAGGTTATGTAGTTGTTAATGTTGGATGCTGAGTTAAAACATGGCTCTGGGAGATTTTTGATGAGGCTAGAATTTTTTATTTTTTGAGCCTTGTAAGTCTTTCTTCACCCTAATAGAGAATACTTGTCATCTTTCTCTCTCATATTTTGATCAACTGATAGGCACAAGTGTGAAGAATCCGTACACCTTTGAAGTTCCCATCGCATGATAAAATTGACATTCCAGGAAGACCTGCTGAAGAAATTAGACACTGTTAGAGCTCAGGTGTGGAAGTCTGAGGAACAGACAGGGCTATAGTGAGGTTTAAATGCATTAATGGATTTGAAGCATGCCCGATACTTGATCACTATTTAAGGTGTTCTTGTTATTAAGTCATCTGGTGTGAGGGTGGGAAGGGCTGGGCAGATAAGGTGGTAGTGGGGAAAACGAAGTAGATGCATTAAAAACATTGAAGGAAGAGTCAGAAGGACCTGACTAGAGTTAGGGGATGCAAGAGGGAGATGTGTTAAAAGATAATCCTGAAGTTTTAATCCTGGGAAATAGGGAGAAACATTGTGACATGCAGTGAAATGGGGAAGTAGGTTGGAAGCTGGAGTAATGGTGATAATAGTTAAACACTGAAGGTGAGTTTACTCTGTGCCAGGTGTAGTTTGAAATGTTTTACCTAAATTCACATACTGAATTTTTGCAACATTTCTGAGATGGGTATCCTAAGAGATAGTGGTTTGAAGCAGGGACTCTGGAGCTGACTCCCTGGGCTTGAATCTGGGCTCCACTATTTACTAATCATGTAACATTGTGCTAGTTGCTTAATTTTTCTGTGTCCTGTTTGCTCATCTATGAAATGGGAATGATAGCCTCACAGGGATAGTGTGAAGATGAAAAGAATTAATACATGAAAAATGCTTGAATTAGTGTTTGGCATATAGTAAGTGTTGTGTGTTAGCTCTTACTGTTACAGTTATATTCTTTATTGCAATTAGTATCTCCATTTATAGACAAACTGAGGCACAGATATCTTACGCTTCTTAGTGGTGGATCTAGTTTTTTTTTGTTTTTTTTTTTGAGAGGGCATCTCTCATATTTATTGATCAAATGGTTGTTGACAACAATAAAATTCTGTATGGGGGAGTCAATGCTCAATGCACAATCATTAATCCATCTCAAGCCTAATTCTCGTCAGTCTCCAATCTTCTGAAGCATAACGAACAAGTTCTTACATGGTGAATGAATTCTTACATAGTGAATAAGTTCTTGCATGGTGAACAGTACAAGGGCAGTCATCACAGAAACTTTTGGTTTTGATCACGCATTATGAACTATAAACAATCAGGTCAAATATGAATATTCATTTGATTTTTATACTTGATTT